AGTTGTAACCTGCAGTCTTTTCCCTTAAAAGTGCAGCTGCGAATCATATCGTCGAACTGATGCCCTAATCTCATGAGCATTTTCTTATCGAGAGGAGCCATTAACACTGAAAGCCTCTCTTCGGCTTTGTACACCTTGTCCAGAGTGTGAGGTTCCGTGGGTCCATTCACGGAGCCTTGATTTTTCCTCTCGTTTTTACTCTCCTCTTCACGACTATTGTTCTCATTCTCGTCATCATCATGATGTGCTTCTATATCGTCATTTGTTTCGCGGAATTCGTTTTCATCTAGTTAACAAAAGAGGTTACAAGTTATACGTATATATATACACCCTTAGGGACTGCGCAATATATATCAGAAGGAGGAGGGGGGAGGGGGGTTTAAAATCCAGAGGGAGGCAAAATCAAATTGTATGTGCTTCAAGAGGGGCGACAGAGTATAAAATTAACTAGAACTTTACTATTGGAAACTGCCAAATCAACGGTGTCAGATTTTGTGCTTTTTGGACAAATTTGCGACAGCTCTTTATTAATGAATAATAAAATAAATAAATTCACGGGGGGGGGGGGGGGGGGGGGCAAAGCATAAATATTGAGCTGCCCAACTGGAATTTTTTCTCACAAATTGTCGATTCAGCAGCGCATAATAAACAACGCATTAATCAGCATTAGATTTACCTGGCAAGTAGCTTCCTAGTATTTGAGCTATATTGTAGGGAAGTTTTTCGATTGCCGATGCACGGATCATATTGAAGTTACAAAGTACAACACTGGGAAAGTCGAGCGTCTGAGAAAAAAACAACAATTCAATTATGTCCTTGAAATTTAAAAGATGTAACGGCCGCCATTTTGGTTTAACCAACATGGACACCGAAAATTAGGATKTGTGTGAAAAAACTGTGGAARKTATTAACTTTTTGCCGGTCATAGTTAATAAATGGGGTCAGGAACTTAATGAATGTAGTTGTATCTATGAATTTACTTGGTATTAAACAACATTATATCTTACCCCACTGTAGTGCAAAGACAGCCTAGTGCTGACAGGTCGGCTGCGGTACTTGTAGAACAGCGGAATAAGCTGAGATATTGCCATACCAACAGCTGCTAAAAATAGCATTACCCATAATACTTTGAATACTAGGAACTTAGTGCCAACGATTCGACCGAGTCCTCCGCAACTAGTGTAGCCGCAGAATTCTTGCAGCATTYGAACTAGTGACGAGCAACGGTTATTTTGTCGCTTTCTTGGTTGGTCCTCCATCGTTTCCCAAGCATGYTGTCGCGGACAAYTTTCCGCCATAAGGCTTACTAAAACGACCTTAAAAASCACGACAGTTCCTGATGTAAATGCCTGGCAGAAATGTTTGTATAAATCGTTGAATATGCGCGCCGTTAATGTATGTGAAAAGATGCCACTATACATGCTCTTCAAGATAATGATCAGGCATAATCATACAGAAATTGTTTACAAAATCCTAGCTAAAGGTGTTAATTTTGCAGAAAATAAACATTTAAATTACAAAAATGACTTATACGACAGGAAAACAAATTTAAATATTCCTTAAAAACATCTGCCTCGATATAGGGAAGAATGACGGGTTATTAAAGGTAACAATGTTAAGAGAAAGGTGATGATTAGACCGAAGTCAATTTAGTTTGCATGGCACATAATTTGGTGGCTACAATATCTGCAAATTGGAAAAAAATAAATCATTTTATCATATAATTATCTATGAAATACCTATATTTCTCCATTTCGTAAAATTGATATTTTCACTAGTGAAAATAACATGTTAACATTTATATTCGGCGAGGTTTCGCTAAATAATGCAAGTAAGAAAAAAAGGTATTTTACGACATATTTTGTTTTCATATAAAATTATATGATAAATAGAATATTACATGTTCGCTTGGGGATACGAATTTTATCTTCACGTGTTGAAAATCTCTCACTCGTTCGCTACGCTCACTCGTGAGAGATCTTTTCAACGGCACTCGAAGATAAAATCCGTATCTCCGCGCGCCCATGTAATATCCTCTATATATCACYGAGACAGACTAGCAATTGTTGTTAAAGCAAATAAAATTAAAAAACGGGAATTAAGGTTTATCACTGCACGCGCCCTTCAGAGAAAAGCTCGAAGATTTTGAGTAATTTTAATTTTTTTTTTCAATATAAACTATACCAAGAAGTCGGTGATAATTAAACTGTTAAACCAAAGGTCCTGAAAAGGAGAAAAGAAAAAAACCTTCCCCAAAACTACCATATTATGGGATTATGTATTTGCTAAAAAGTCTAAATATATCTTAGAATTCAATTTGAACTATTTCCAAGTCATTGATAATCAGTGCAAATAAAACATWAAAAAAATCAAAAAATAGTTAAAATCTCAGTTAATGATGTGCAAACCCATGTACGTCCGGAATTCGTAAACGTTTCATTTAAGTCATTATTACTTCTTTTAACTTCATTATTTTTAACATAAAAACCAATAAAACGTTTTATCGACCACAAAACGAAAGATAGTAAGTKGGATTCTAAAAAGACGATATGCAACACTTTTGGAWATAATTATATTATCCTACAAAAACMCYCAAAACCTGGTAAAATATAACATTGAAAACTTACCTTTTTATGTGTCGTAAGCTTCACTAAAGCTGGTCATTGTTTCGTTATGTCCTGGTTTTACATAAGCTTTTAGCACTTTCACTAGATCAGATTTGCATATGAAAACTACATTAGTTCGGATTAATCTTTTTGTTGTATTACACATTATAACTGTTTATTATCACATTTGTTTGTGTTTTTTTTTTCGGAAAATCACTCGTCTCTATCTAAGACTTGTAATAACTTTGAGCATTTGTTGCAGGATGAGCATTTTACTTGCTTTGTCGGTTGAGAGATTTTCAATAGTCCAGTTTCGAATTCTCCAGTGCTCTGTGTTAGCCTCATTTGTGCGCAAAATATTCCTAATTGTGAGAATAAAAGTGTGAGATTTCAAATCAATTCCATTGTCTTTCTTTTCAAATTCCATGCGTTTTCTCAGGCTATCAATGAAACAAAAGAATATGTTACTTGGTTTTGAGGCTAACACAGAGCAAACCAGAACTCGAAATCGGAGTATTGGTTCCTGCTGCTTACTGAGTTGACTGTAACAATTGACCCGGTTTTTATTATTTATTCATATTTTATTGATATTTAGATATTAAGTTAATATTTATCTTATTTTAGTAATTTTCACTCCAGAAAAATTCCTTCGCAGTTGCGTAAAAAGTCATGATAGGATCACGCATGAGCAGATGTTTGACCGCATCGAGGCAGCATTCAAAATCTTGCCCAGTCTTTACTCGTTTTTCTCCACTATGCTCGAAGGGGTCGATGGGAAGGAGAGCGAAAACCCAATTGAAGTATCGCGTATTATTGTTTCTTGGATATTCAGCGAGGWTTTTTGAAATATTCTATTTGTTAAGTATCAGCCTTTGTTAGACAACTAGTGGTTTGTCTGTCTGCTGATAAAACAAAGAGTTCAAWGTTTTGGTAGCTCAGTGACATTCTAAGAAAATGAATTACTGCCATCTCCCTTAACTGAACACACATACACTCTGAACGTTTGCAGAAATACAAACCATATTCCTGTCTTCAAAGAAATGTGTACTKAACAACTGCATTTGTGCCTAGGAACCATAATTTTCAACACTGAACAAATATCCTCAGTTGTTCACATGTTGTTCAGAAGCGTAAAAGCATTTKTGTGTTGTTTGCGAGCCTCTTTATAACAGACAGTCTAGAATTCTCCAGAAAAAAGCGTCTGTTTCCATGAAGATATCGCTATGTTCCTTTCACCGCCAAGTCTGCTGCCATCGTGAAAAGCCTTTTATGTWGAAAACGTTCGCATGTTTTTAGTGTGTTCTTCGACACAGTGCCGCGTCGTGCCAGTCTAACGCCTTTTTTATGCTTAGCAACCTCCTGTGTGCTCAAAAAACTGGAGCAAAATTGAAGACGTAAACAGCGTTATTTTAGGTTTATTTCCTCTTAAGCTGAAATACAAGTGTTTATACCGCTTGAAAGGATTGATTGAGCGAGAAAACTTTTAATTAAGATTGATAGCCGAAGGGTGTTTTTCGGAGCCTTTTAATGAAATTATTAACGAACTACTGCCAAACCTTCTCTCAGTGCAACGACATAACTAAACGTTTTGTTATTGTGTGTGTTGTTAATTAACAATTGTGATAAAACGATAAATTGTGCACCGTTGAAGGGAATGAAAATAACCGAGGACAAAGGACCAAGTTCCCACGTAAGAAACGGAWATATTTTTCATCCTTGAAGCATGCTTTTATTAAAAACTTTGTAATACGTTCTCAATAGATTTCTTATCAAATTATGAGATTTAAAAGTGTATTAAATAAAGCACTTGATATAAAACATKTTTAAAACTTGCCACAATTGAACCGGCTGAGTGTTGGAGATCAAAGGMCTRCTGCGTTGTGGGATTGACTGGATTCGAAGCCCACATACTCAGTAGGGTCAAATGGAACATGAAATTTTGTTTGTTTTTATTGATGTCAAGACCTTATATTACTCTTAAATATAGCTTGCGCTTATAAAATTTAGATATGAATATATGTACCGGCAGATATAACTAGATAACATAACCTGATGCAGATTTTTAACAAACATTTTCCAAAAAATTCCAAAGACTTCGAATTTGAAAAAGAATCACTTGAAAAACTGTTTATAAGTTTTGTTTTTATCCTCTACCGCTAATAACCTAAGTTGAAGATCCTTTCTCACTTTTCAATAAATTCAAACTGCTTATAGAATGAAGATAAATGTGGTAATTGTATGGAAAAATTACAGCACTCTAACCGCATAGAAAGTTCTAGAAGCTCTTTTACCTTTAACCCACTAGTAAGAACAATAGACTATTGTGTGGATAAAATTGTTTATAGAGCCGCGTCGATCGCTCACAGCATCTCAATTTGATATCGTTGATAGTTTTCTCCAGAATTTTGTCAAAAATTAGGCGCCACACTTTATTATTTGAAATTTTACTTTTTACAATTCAYTAATATCAGATACATTATATAATTTCTAGAAGTTGTAACGGAGTAAAAATAAAGGCAAATTAAATAGAAAAATAATATCTCGTCAATATAGTTATTTGCATCGAACTTTTTGATATCTTGGGCAGGGTATATGGCAATCCACCGCGCGCTTTAGCAGGGTAAAGGTTTTGACCCTAGGATCGCGTCTGGTATATCGGTGGATCGTCTACGTGACCCACATTAGCATTTTATTCTCATGGTCAATTACTTTATGTCTATTTTTAAAACTACCCACTCTATCCCAACACAGCACGTGGTTGATGAATACCGTAGAGTTGATCGAAAACCACGTACGGAGTCAACTGGTGGCACGATTATYAGTCCAGACAATAAATGTTACAGAATAGTATCTTGAGAATATGTATGAATCCTAATGAATGGAGAACTCCCATAAACAAAGTCTACTTAAAAAAACCACAACAAWAGTGTATCAAGGCAAGTCAAATAGTTTATCTTGGAGACCTGAAAATGAGCAAAACAGGGGGTCCAAATTGAAGTGCTGTGATTGACATTTTTACGCTCTTACGTAGTTTTTACCAGCAACTTGATGTTGTTTACCTATTGAACCAGTCTGGAGTTTAAAATGATATATATTATATAGTATAACGATCAGTTTGTCGCAATTTGGTATTCAATCATCAAGTTTCCACTATTTCAATACAATACAATAAAACAAAACCACTCGTTTTGTAGCTTTAATTTTTTTTATTTTGTCAAAGAAATTCAATCGCTTTACTTGAAAAAGGTACAAAGCGCGCGTGTTTTTCGAGGTAAAAATAACCAAAAAATCGAATAATTGCAATAAAGATTCGAAGATATTCCTCGAATCCAATCAAAATGCCGGTAGAAAGATTGGATACTAAGCACGGCACTTTGTTTGCAATGTTTTGTAGTAGTGATTGTTTACTTTTTTGTTTGGTAGTCCTTAATCAAATACAACTTTTTATATCACTTGTAAACGAAAACACTTCGAACTGAACTATATTAGAACAAGACCAGAATCCAAAAAATGTTCAACTAACAATTATTAGCCAGTAATCGCTTGAAAACAACTACTTAATTAGTGATATTTAGACTTCGATCATTGATGATCATTAAAATAAATAACTTTTTTTTTCGWAAAGGAATCGTAAACAATAATCGGTTTTGCTATTTTCCCGTAGAATAACGTGGCCTATATTTAGAAGTCAAGTTTTKGGATTAATTTAAAGCTCGGCCACTTAAAGTTCTATGTTCTAAATTGTGAGTATTATAATATAATTGTAAAATAGCGATGTTATTCATTAACACATGATGAAAAACGTACAACAATAACGGTTTATTGAAAGAAAATTAGAATTTGACACCATTCCCTAGATACGGTGAACAATGGCTCCAACTTGCTTTTGCCGTTTTCTGTTTAGCTAATCCCCCGTCGGTGAGGGCTGATTGTTTCATAAGCATTTTTTATTAAATTATCAAGAATGATGTAGCCGTTTAAGAAGACCCCTTTTTGTCTACTTTAGAACTACTTTTATGAAAGAAATAGTTGTCACTGACATCGACATACTTTTTTGATTCTAAAAGTCAAACCTGACTAGTGATTCGCAAAACTTTCTTCTATTTATTTGGTTAATTCTAATATTTATTGTAATTCAACGAGCGATTTTATTAAACACCGAACATTTGCCGACATAATCGCTGACTTTTTGTGCGTTTAAACCCCTTAAAACTAAKACCCAGACTAAGACTTGCGCACAGCACTTGTGCGTATGACTTTTGATCTTTACCAAAGGAGCAACYATCATTATTCACCGGTCGAGAAGYCGTGACAAGCAGACAAGTAGGTAGTAACTTTAAACAGTATTTCAGTCTTTTATAGCTCTGTCGAAATAGAAACCTAGTTTTTCACTTCAATGAACATGAAACCCTAGGGTGTTGAAGTGGTAATTGTGTTTTTTGCTACCTCGAGGGAGCGATTGTTCGATCCACGTTAAACTAACGCCCTTTTTAAGCATTCATTGTTTACGGTCGAAAATGTCCCTTCCAAAAAGGCAACCGTCCAAAAGACTAACAAAGTTACATTGTGTGAGCTAAARCCCGTCAGCATTGGTGCTTTGAAACGAGAGTGACATCACCTATATCACATAGGCTAATTAAGCTATAATTTACATAAGTAGTGATCTATTTAAGGGCACATTGATCTTCTACTTGATCACTTGCAGTACAACACAGATAGCCTTCTGATCATGCCTCGATCATTCCTCGTCAGATCCAAGATGGTAGAAAACGCCGAGAAAACAAAACCAGAGACACAKTTCAAAGGTAAATTTTCTTTAATATTTTTTTTTGTATCATTTTATCACACGCTAGATTTCAGTCGAAAGTGCTTGCCYTTTTAAGTTTGAGAGCTAACAGGTACTYTCCCGGTGTTCTTCAGTCGAGTYTTCGAGTCTCTTTTTAACTTTTGAAAAGAAAAGTTTATATTTACTTAAAGATTTAAAAATAATGAGTTCTATTAGAGGAGATAGAAGTGTAAAAGTTGAAACCTGYTAATAATACAGAAACCCAAACGTGTTAATCTTGCAACAAGAGTGATATATATGTGCTAAACTAAACATGGTATGTACAATATAACGAGCCTTTTCCAAAAGTTTCGRATTTCAGAGAGAGTGAAGTGACTCTTGTTATAGAGAATCGTAATYAATAGTGCCCAACCACAACCTTTAAAGAATTCGAGTAATTGTAAAGAATTCCCCTCATAGGCGATTGGCAGAGAAAATGATTCATGTGTTCAATTGCTGTCGTTATTCAAGAGAATATTCTGAGTCGCGCGCGCTCTACAAGAGCATAAACAGGTGGGATCCATGTTAACYGAGAAAGGGGATTACTAATTCGGAAAAAAGACTAAAAACACAGCGGATGTGACAGCCCTTGTATAGGCTAATCAAATCGATCGCCGAGCTAGCTTAAACCAGATATTGACGGAGTATAGGGTCTGTTTGATTCAAAAGTAAGCTTTTCTATAATATTCACTGTGGATATTTGATTTATATCATTGGAAAACAAAGAGTGTGTTAGATTGTTCTCTCACGGGGGTTGTTTAAGCAGGTTCCAATTATGACTTGCTAAATAACTTTTGAAATGCCTTTCCTTGCACTGAGACAATGAAATGTGACGATAGATCAACAAATAACAGTTACAAGTATGGTACATTCATCAATAACCTGTGAAATGATGAAAGCAGTCACTGGAGAAAAAAATACAAGCGTTATTTTTAGTTCACTTTCGCGACAAAAAATAGAATCAATATTTCCTTAAAATTCACTAAAACCTTAAAATAGTTTAGATTAAAAATAATRCAAACGAAAAAAAMCCGGTTATTAACGAAACGTGTAAAAAACGTTTAACRACTTTGACGCCATATTTAAGATATTTAACGCGTAAAAGAGCAGCGTTAATGTTAATAATATAAGGCGTTAGCTTTGTCTACTGTCTTCTTCAGTGTGAAACAGCTAATTTGTTTGGTTTCAATGCGTTTAAGACGGAAAAGAATGTAAYTTTTATAATTCGGCCAGTTGTTTCTTGATTGTGCATTGTGATTTCACTAACGGGGTAGTCAAATGGGTGTAAGATATCGCGRTTAGCGCACCTTTAAGCTAAGTTCTTGTAGTTTTATATCCGAAAGTTAAACTTAACTCCATGATAAGTACGAAACAATAGGMCGTCAAGAATCAAAAGATTAAAACATAACAGCAAGAAACATTTTTTTGTATACCACTCCAAGGGATCATTCTAAGCACATTTTTTTAAAAATTCGCCTTTCTTTTCGATTACTTTCGAAGATTTCGATAAAACTTCTATGGTTAAGTTTAGGAGATCTTCCCAAAGGTGCAGTGTGCTAATTTGTGGTCATTTGATCTTGAATGCTTACAAGTATCGAGATGTTTGATACAAAAGCATGTTTCTTTGTTGACTATTGATGGTCATGGTACCCGAGCGAAACGCAAAGAATGCACATCACGAATCGCATCGACTAGTGCTTGCCGCGCGTTGACAGCATTTGGCCACCACTCTCGTTTAATGACAAAACCTAAAATCGTGCAGACTAGGATGATTATTGCTTCACAATCTTGCCATCGAACAGAAATCACCCCTCAAAGAAGATTTATCGTTGCCAAGATGTTGCTGAGTACACGACTTAGGAAATGATTCTTTACAGAATATTCTCGTCGTCAGGGTTGCGCTATGTACAGTGATACATGTCATAGCYGTTGATCCTTTGATCATATACACCCTCGTTTAATAATTCCTTTAACTGAGTTTTCGAAAGCTTTCTAGTATTATATTTAATTATTGTATTCAATATTTTCATGCCATGTCCACTGTTCGTCTAGTATTTATTTGTAGGCTGGACAACGAAGGCTATTCGGGTATATAACTGAAGAAAAAGCCATTTTGTTTTTACAAACGTTTTAGGTTTCCATTATATGTTTCAATCTCTTGGATTAATTAATTTTTATGACGATACAATTCATAGTTTAAAATAGGCATTTTCAAATTCAAAGATATGTAAACTCCGTCTCTATTCAATCTATGTATAGACTTAGAATCGCAAGGTTTAAACCAATTTTTCGATATTTTAATGTTATTTAACTCACATTAGAAAATATAGATCAATCTTTTGGTAAGAGACTCCCTTGCTTTAAGGATGTTTCATATATAAAAAAGCAAAAAATCCAAACRTAGTTTAGATATATATCTTTACAGTGAATTTTACCACATCTCGCCTTGAAATAACCATTGACACYATGTCTAGCTCTACCTACATTTGWATTTCATTATTYGCGTTGTGGTTTACACWATTTCAAACGTCTTTGTCGAAGGCGCACAATACCACGTCTGACATTTTCTATGATTTGTTTTCACAGATGATAATAAMCAAGATATCAAAGTCGAAAAAAGAGGGTTTAYACCATACGTTCCAAGGTCCAAGGAACCAACCTACAAGACATCAAGTACAGAACATGGAAATCWCCTACGACAATCATCCAATGAACACTTGTTGCGACCAATGATTCCTCCTGCCTTTGTTATACCTCCGCCAAGAGGAATGACTGTAGAGGAGTACCTTCGTATAAGGTCTGGCTGTTTTCTCCCAAGGCCTCTTTTTCCTTTCCCACCGCACTTTCTGACCAATCCCCCGCCCCGCGTCAACCCTGGTCTGCTATGTCCATATAGTTTACAACCAAGATTCGAGCATGAGAAAATAAGCCGTCTTGACCTTCAAACCCAAAGACAGTTGGAAGTTGAAAAAGATCACAGAGAGCTAGCGACCCCGGAACGTTTTGCAGTAACACATTCGCCTCAATATCACCCAAAAGTTGTTTTCCAGCAGCCTCCGTTTGAAGCCGTTGAACTAAGAGCAGAAGATGAATCCGAAAGTAAAACGAAAGTGTATCRATGTCAGGAATGCGGCAAGGAGTTCCGAAGGCCTTCAAGTTTAAGCACCCATAAGTTAATTCACTCTGATCATAAGCCTTTTCCATGCTCCTACTGCGGAAAGAAGTTCCTAAGGAAGTCTGACATGAAGAAACATACATTRATGCATACAGGAGCAAAGCCATTTCAATGTAAACAGTGCGGGAAGGTGTTYAGTCAGTCTTCTAACATGCTYACACATATGAGACGGCACACAGGAGTGAAGCCTTTTCCATGCAAGATTTGCGGTAGACGATTCTACAGAAAAGTCGATGTTAGAAGGCACACTCTCAGACACGAGTTTCGAGCCAATGTAGAAAGCTCTATCGTGAGCCATACTAATGTACAACGAAAGGAACTTTTAGCATAAAATCATAATCGCCAGGAAAACTGAGAGAACTTTTTATTCATCAATAAAAACATTGATCAACAAAAAACAATAAGTTTGGCAATCATTCAAACTGAACAATTTTGCCTAGAAAAGACATTGTTTAATCAAAATTAAACRAACACTTGGCAGTGAAGAACTAGACAGAAATTATTGACTTTTTGTACAGAAATATAGGTTTACATGTTATATATCTTTTACATCGCTAATGAGCCCAAACCTTGCACGTGTGCTTATTTGAAAGTTTTATTACACATTTGCTGAAAAAAATTCCCTCGAAATAAATGAACAACAATTAATGTCCAATAAATATCCCTTCCTGTACATAGCATATTTCACACATTTGTTATCTGAATAAATTCCATTAAAAGTTAAAAAGCTGTTTCTTGTGTCTGTGTGTGTGAAATGGTTAACGCGTTTTGCTGCGACTTAAAAAAAACGTATGGAAATAGCTACATTGAAATAGATACATACAGCGAATGTGCTATAATACCTTGAAAAAAAACCCGATCTGAAGAGGCTCTAGTATCAATTATAGCACAATTTTCCGGGGATTGCTTTGAAATCAGAAATATAAGATTGATTCAGTAATTGAATTAGCAAAAAGGAAAAACATGGCTCAGATCGAATTAAGGAAACTGAAAATGACCATTTAAAATAATTATTTCGGCCTCTATCATAATAGAATGAATGGCACCTTGTATGATGAGATCAAGCGATCAAAAAGGCTAATTCCAATTAGTTGTTCACTTTTTGAACGGCGACTTTAAAAAGGCATGTTTTCTTGTTATTTAAGACAAAATAGGCACATATTTATTTATCTTTCACAGTCTGGAATATGAATGCTATCAGATCAATATACCACACGCGAAACGTGTTAAACAACATTAACAAAAGGGTTACATTTGAAGATCTCAAACGAATATTTAATACCCTAAGCCAGTGTTTTTGTTTAGAAGGATTGCTTTTGTAAGATAAGAAACAGAATGAATAATAAGTTTTTTAGTGACTTGCTCCCGTAAAAAGACCAGAGCACGACACTTCGCTAATGACTGTAGATGAGGCCGTTTAATAGCGTCGCTAGGTTTGAACCTATCATCAAATTGTCTTAGAGGGCAATAGTATTTTAATYCTAATTTACGAGCTTGGCCACTTGCACGTGTACTAACAATAGTCAAGACTCAAGCAATATCTAATACAATATCGATACGCTTGAGCACACAGTTTAACCGACCACCTATTTACTAAACCACCCACAAATTATTCTTTGATAGCTACAACATCACCCTTCATTGAAAAGTCGACCCGAGTCGTGYTTGGACTAAAGGCTTTCGCCTTCTCATAAACGTCTGATTTCTCTAGATTTCATTCCCGAGCCTAATATCAAAAAATCGTGATTTGAGTTTCGCTGGACTTCGTGTCTCCGCTTAAAGCTGAATGACAAAATCTTAACGACATGGATGAGATGAGGCTCTCTGCAAAAGGAAATGGCGTGGACTTGGGTATTGAGCGACCGCCGTARAACTACAACACAAACACATCGAAAAAGTGTCATTTTGAAATGACGAATGGAGCTCTGACTGGGGGYAGCGTGCAGATAATATAATACGATTTCTAAGTAACGATTTTCCTAAAGTCTTATTTCTAATTAATAATATTTCAATCAATGATGGATTCTCTTGTTTTCTTCTAGGATATTGTTCGCTGGAGAGTGTTGGGGATTATTTTTCCACATCTCGGCTTATCCCCTTCAACACACTCCAAAAATTGGCGAGAACAAATATCAACTACGTTTTGAAGCGCTTCTTCTCTTTAACATGTATAAGTACTCTAGCTATCTAATTAACACTCTAACAACAGAGCCTATTGTAAGCGAACTAAAGTAATTATCATGGGTTGCCTTTTAGCGACARTTTCTGATTGCCATGACAGCAATAAGGGGGGTTGGTATCCAGGCTTTCTCGCTGACGCGTCGTAGATCGCTATCAAGATTGATTTCTAAAACAGAAGCAGATTTATTTCCGCTGTATGCGYCTCTCAAAAAGCATCAGTACACGAGTTATACATATCTTCCTATTGAGGTAGTTTCGCTTGCCCAATATTTACCCCAGCAATTTTGCACGCGCGTTTTTCTTCGTGACGTAATGTGCAGYATGCTCAATATAAAATAGATATATAAGATATATATTCTTCAAATAAATGAATTTCTGAATGCAAAAAGAAAATAACGCGTTACAGTTTTTTGATCAATTAGCCAAATCGTGGAAAAATCGAGATAATTGAAATTCGTGATTTTCATGCGAGSTACTRCACAGTCAAAGGTCTTTTAGAAACACATGTGGKTCWTCATCCTAAAAAGGCGTTTCGTTTATTAATTGATCGGAGTCTAAGATATGAAAYTTTCATATAAATAAGGATTTTTTGTTCTTTTTTTTGGAAATAAGAAAATAAAGAATAAAGAATTAAGCGTTAATAAACCACAAGTCCACAGAATAACAAATATATCGATTGTGCTGTTTAATATATGTTTGGAAAGACTACTATCCGCTAAATATTAGTATTTTGTATTGAGCTGGTGGGATAACCTATATACTTATTTTGTACTAGTTCATGGTCAAAATGGTATGCACCAATTCAAATTGCCATCCAAATGTACAGGAGCAGTTCTGTTGAGTTAAGTAAAGAAATACTGGAAACAGGAGTTAACTATCTTGAACTGTTTTGTCTCAAGTAGGCACCGCWAAGTCTTGAAAACGTTATCSAACTAACAGGACAGAACAAATTGGTCGTGTTTGCTTAATAAGTAGCGAATCCACGTGTGGCCTTTGTTAGTCTTCGCCGAGTCAAAATAAACGTAATTAACGCATAATAGCTTTAAACTCCACTTGGAATTGTCGCTCAAAACCTATTTCAACCTATCGGCAGTTAGAGTATTAATTGTAACTTTAAAGCGCATAAGATGAGTTAAACCGGGCGGTCGTTGGCCAACCGCACATTCTCCTATAAATGCCAAGTTGTCATTTGGTGTCATTTTATTATTGTGYTGTATCAGTCCTTGACTGGACTTAGAACAACAGTGAACTGAAGAGTAGGACTTAGRAACAGTAAATTTCTAGCGCTGACTATGCGAATACTAAGACAACAACTCCTGATCAAAGACAAGCGCCCTTGATCCGCTAATCAACCAATGTTGTTGACTTTTCATGGAATTAGCATCACCACATTTTTAGTCGCTAAATAAATATAGTGACACCTTAAGTGCAAAATTCAACTATTGTCATCTGATTGATGGATGTGTTTGACTACCTGTATTGCCTTGAGTTTAAAATATTTTGCACACTTTTGGTAAGCTTGCGCATAACAATTGAGGTCGAGGCTCCGGAGGACAATGGAAAAAAGCCTCTTTTGGGATTATATTACCATGCCATTTTAATCAGATCAAATGCTACACAATAAATCTCAGAATAATATAATTTTATATAGAATTTTACGGTGTTACCGCTGCTGCCTATTGCTTTAAGAACTCCTGGAGACCAATTTCTARCTCTCGCAGTTTTTCATTCTTCAGCCGTGTCACGGAAGCCATAAACTGAAACAAACGATAAAAATCACGTTATTAAAGCTGCATGCCTTAATTTAGGACTCTCACCTTTCTTAACAATAAAATGTCAATCACGTGGACAGTGAAACTGTGTTATTCCCACTGTCGAAACATTTTTATTTTGAAGTACTTCGACAGGTTTAATATATAAACAGGCTCTACAACGCCGAGTGCATGTACCTTTGTCTTCTTGTCCTCAGCTATGCTTGAAATGGTCACTGAAACAAATCAAATCAATAAACATTGTTACYACAGCCGGTAAGAGAAAGGGAGCCCGGCGTGAATGACGTCATGAGACTAAAGGTACAGGAATACGAGCAGCAAAATCGTACAAATTTTGTTGTAACATTGCTGAGAGAATGGTTGGGTTGTTGTAGTAATACGGGCAAGATCTTTGAGTTTTGTTCTAAAAAGTAGAACCATCTTCTACTTTCTGCAGCAAATGTTTTCAACTTGCAACAAAAMATTCTGCTGCTAAAAAGYATGTTCGCCCCTAGTAAAACGCGCAACATCGCTTTTCACCTTGTTTTGCAGCAATGTTGCCACAAAAGTTATAGGATTTTTGATTGCAATAGCGTATTTCCCTTACGGTGATTAATATTCTAGATTTTCTGAATTCTCTCTCAGTTCTGATGATGCTGTAGTGACAGCGAAAGCTTTGACTCTACTATTGAAGATTATTCACCATCATTACACAGTAGTATTTGGACGCATCTGCTAAATTATTACCTCTTTATTTTCCTTACGTTTTCACTGCAAATGTTGTAAGGTCGARTGCTGGCAAACATGTAGTTTTTTTCAGTTCTACAGCGCTGRCTGATTGGGGCACGGCGAATAGAMTTAATAATGTCTTAACTTAGAAATGAACAATAGTTCTTGCGCAAAATATAACTAACTCCTGCGAAAGTGTTGTAAAGCTTTAGTTATCAAAATCATCAAAACATTGTCATCACACCAAGGATTCCTTCAAAGATCTACAAGATGAAAATGTTCATCACACCCAAAAACGCTTCCTTCATTTTTAACACAACTGATACATCAGATTAAGTCGTCGATAGAAATGCCTTTGGGTGACCACCATGTCGATAAGAACACACTCAACTCACTCAGAAATTGTGGAAATAAACTTTACACAGATCTCTTTTGATTAAACAATTCTAGTGAGAAAACCAGTTTTTKTTTWATTTTCTTTCCAGAAATTAACTGTTCTAATCTTTCGACACCAGCTCTTTTCGGTCGAGATTTTCAACAAAAGAAGACCAAGAAGAGAAGTCTGTTGTCATTAGTCTGCGAAGGAAGACACAAGAAACCTCGTCGCCGGTTTCTATATATTTTGTCATAATTCAAGAAGTAACAGCCATCTAATTCGAATCTAAAACTGACATGAATGTAGGACACACGAGACATGTCCAAATATCAATATAACTCGACAACGCAAGGCCCAATTACCGGGAATACTTAAGAACCGGTTGTAAAACATTAAGAAAAGATACATTTCTACAAATCGGTCTGTATCGATTACTCCTAAGATAGATGTAGAAATAGATTACTTTAAATAAACCGCTAAATCAAATATAACAAGCCGATTTACCAGARCATCGACTACAAGGCTACTTATTTTACCGCTGATATCGAACCTGTACATTAAATTGGATTTGGTTGCTCAAACGCAAATGAGGTCGAACCGAAACTCACAAACAGGCTATCGTATAGCTATGATTTCTTTACTAGGCTAATAAAGACAATAAAACCGTGAAACATAATGAAGAAATCGAACAAGAGAAAGATTTTTTCTTGAAARGAAAGAACYAATAACGCTAAAACCGTGTAGAGAAAGTCTAACCAAGTAGTGCCAGACAGCGTAAAATAGGGTAGACTAGACAATAGAATTAAAAGATATGAATTCCCATAATTCAGTACAATTCAACACTGTCTAGTAACTTTAGAGTTTTTAGAGTTTACACCGACTCTAAGTTTTGTTTTTCTTAGACGATAAAACACAACAACGAGCATTAAGTTCTTCTAATTACAAGACCAGGGAAAATCACTTTATCGACTAGAGACGTTCTCATTTGACCGTGCAAWGAAAATGACTATTCAGTCAGTATTTATTGGAGAAAATAGATACAGAGTCTCAAAATCTTTCACGGTCAAATGAAAACGCCAAGGTATCGCAAAAACGACAGACATTTAAARAAAATCCACTCCACAAAATATGTCCCATCAAAGCTGATTTAGAAATCAGTGGCCACCTGCAATGAAAAGGATTTCCAAGTAGAATACTGATTGTGATTGAAACCAAATCATGTGAAGAGGAAATTTGGACAAAGCACAGAAAAAAAGCGCAATTTTTTAAAACGGATGCAAGAATAATTATAGTTTAGATAGCACGGTCACCACACGAAAGATCAAAGAARCCTTTGATATTGTTATTGCAGGAAATTCTGYAAAATCATCGATACTAAAACGGTGAACAAGKAGGAGGAAATGTGCCGTGATTCGCCGCCATGAGCGGAACGTGACACGCTCGACRTGATGGATTTCCGTCAACGGATTGGATTCGACATCGTATCATTATACGAATTAATTTAATAATAATCATTGTTAGAGGGGCAACTAGTATTTTATTTCATAGGTGATTCTGATGAGAACTTTGAAATATAATGATTATGCATGGTAAAAAGAGTGAAATATATTCCTCTTTTTTTTTGGAGGGGGGGGGGGGTGTAATTTATTAAGTGAATGAAGGGTCTAACCACTAAAATACAAAACTTTTTTCTGTCTTTCAAATRTGATAATCACATCACATAATTAACTATATGCTTTGATTGAAATTATCTAAAATCGAACTGAAACAATCAACTGAGTAAGATCACTCGTAAAAAAGCAATTAAACAAAAGCAAAAAAAAAATATTTAAAGATAAACAAATAAGGGCCAAGAAACACAGAGCAGTACATTTTATCTTTAGAATTATTAAACATTTTGTAAAAATGATCTGATTGAAAGATATAAAAAGAAGTTTGATTGGCTATATTGGTTACACTATTTCAATTGGCTGTCTGTTTAACCAATTATATTGTGTAAAATCGAACAATAAATGAATTACTTACTTGATTGACGAGTCTCAAGCCCAGTCCTCTTCTCGCCCTCACGTCCATGTGTTTTCCCTCCAGATTTATTGCTAAATCCCAATGGTTCATCATGCGTTAGTCTATCCTTGTCCCTATGTGAATAGTTCCCTAGTTCATTTTTATACGAATTGCYAGTGCCAACCTCGTCATCAGATTTAAAAGTGTCACGAGATAGCTCGAACGGATCCCGAAAACCTTCGTATGCCATCCGATGTATATCCGAACGACTCACGAAATTTCTGTCGATATTTTKGACATCTCTGGCATCAAAGTTTATTCCTTTGCGACTTTTCGGGGCAGAAACTGAGTTTGAACTTTCACCAKGAGGAAGTTTTCTTTCAGTACGTGTAGAATTGTCGTCATCTTGAAATYCAAGATCCAGATCACGAAMGGAAAGKTTTTTGGTGGAATAACGGGACTTTTGTCTTCTTTTGTCTTGTTTCTCCTTACTACGAGTTGCTAAGTCCTCCTTCAATGTTTGCTCAAGTGAATATAAAACATTTTCTTCGTCAAAATTACTTCGGATAAATAAATGGTCATTTTTCWGCCGATATGATCGAGAATCTTGCGATTGAGGCTCTACGGCTGACGTCATAAGTCCCACGTGACCAGGCAAGTGATTTGCTAGCGTTGCTAAGTGATCTCTTTCAGATTTTGCCGTGTCTCGTTCACTTTCAACGTCTTGAAGCCTTCTTCTCAATTCCTCGAGTTCCCTCTCTCGGTCTTCTGTTCGTTCCTTCTCAAGGCGTGTCTTTGCAAGCTGAAAGGAATCAATATGAAAAACGTTTGATGATGACAATAATGCTAATGATTCTAGGATAGTCACAACTTCCATAATTCTACAAGTTGTTCAAAATGCAATTTTACCGGAAGTGACGTCACTCGACGATTTTCAAAATGGGTGTGCGCTTTAAAAAATATTGCAGGCGCGCACTTGAAAGAGAGGTATTTCCAGGACAAATAWACAACCGAGCTTCAAAATACTGCCCGAAAATATTCTTGAAAGAACCACGAATATAGTCCACATATATCGTCTACTGAAAGTGATTCATTCTGATGATGATGATAATGATGATGGTGATGATTAATCAATAATATTTACCTCTAAGCGAAAGTCCTGAACTGTAGAATCCTTTCTTGTTATCACCTTAAAAACAAATTTATATTTTTTTWAATAAATGAATTAACTTCATCCATTTATTATTATTATTCATTATTCACCTTTTCGAGTTGTTTGAGTTTTCGTTTAAGGCCTTCAAGTGATTGACCTGCTTTTCTRCGCTCTTCGTCGAATACGTCTGCTCTTTTACTCATTTGCTTTCTCAACTGGTCCTGTAAACATGACAAATATCAACATAAAAGATAAAAACAGACAAAACTTAACAGACAAATAAACAAGAAAACAAAATAGATAGTAAACAATACTAGACAAACATTAGCATGTACAACACAASCAAAGCAATAAAAKAATAACTAACAGAACGCACGAACAAAAACAACAACAAAAATAACAACTAAACAAACAAGACAACAACATTGCTCCTGGACAATGCCAGACAAACATTAGCAAGTACCATACGCAGGCAAAAAACAAACAGACCAGAAAACATARCAGGCGAACATAAACAAACCGTGAGGTATCCTTGTTCATTCATGAGTACTTTAGTATTTTGTTCTGGTTTAGGACGAGACTCCTCTTGCCTCTGATGAAAGAATATAAAATATCATACCGCTGCATTTTTGTATGATACTTAGCGCTGTAAAACTAACACATCCAATGATACTTACATGTTTAGGCTGTGTTTTCTGAATGACTTGATGTCTGTTTTCCTTAGCCTGTTGAATACACCAGTTGTTCAGTGAAGTTAACGTTACCGCGCTGCTTTGCACCCAGTGGTGCATAAGGCCTTATGATCAGTGAAGTATTTGACCATATTTCAGTGATTTTGTATGCGTCCTACTTTAGCTATATATTTGGTCACACCTTCAACGTAATTTTATGTTAGGTGTCACAGAATGATAAGCAAGTCAGTTGGTTGGTCGGTTGATTTTTCCAGAATTTGTCGTTCAGCCCGCAATGGCCTTCTTCGACCTAACCGACCGGTCGGATTAGTAAGTCCTACCTCTATTAGTGAATGCTGCATAGCCAGTAACTGGTTTTCGATCTCTTCTTTCGCGTGTTTCAGATTATCAATGTCTTTAAGTGTGTCTTCTCGTGACTGTTCCACTTCTTTCAGACTTTGTGCGATTTCCTGAGTATCACAATAAATTAATCTTAATTAATGTTAAGATTAAAATGCAGCAATCCATTGTTGATCGATTGTTAGTTTCCTATCAGTACTGCGGTAGGATTTTTTACAATCCAAGCAAAGCCGAAAAAAGAAAGAGAAGGCTATCTAAATGAGCTTCTTGGTACAAAAGAGGCTCTACCAACACTTTAACTAGATAGAGCGGATTTCGTATGAGTGGRACACCGTTACCGCACGGTTACCGCACRGTTACCGCACCTGGCCTGCAGAATTTTGGTGAAACAATGGGGCACTAGAATTTGGTTACAGTACGATTACGGACAAAGTACAGTACCGTCCGTTTCCCACTCATACGAAATCCGCTCTATAGGGGGTACGACCACTACATATAGGCGACCCCATCTCCTATACTCCTGCTATAMATACTCCTACAATCGTAGTATACTTTATATTCACCGATTTGATCTGTGTTGTCACTGCATCCATAGTTTCTCGTGTGAATAGTTCTTGGAAGTCTTCACCTTTCTTCTACAAAAAGATAAAAAAATATGATGCCTTGTTTATAATCAATTTGCTAACACACACACACATAGCTTTTACCTCGTGTAAAGACTGTTGTCTAAGAGTGGTTATTTCCCGTGCCAGGCTCTGTGCGATGCTATACTGCTCAGCAGTTTCTGCTTGAAGACGTTCAAAATCACGCGCTGATCTYAGCTGGTACTGCGCAAACTCCTGAAAATGAAATAGCGTAACGTAATAAATCTCTTTGAAGATTTGATGATAAGTTTATAAGTTGTTTGGTCTTAGACTACCTTCTTTAGATGGTCCAAAGCACGTCTGTAATCGTTGGCCTCTGCTGCTACCTTCTCGACCGTAGATTGAGCCATTGCTTTTTCCTGGTTGTGATCAAGAAAMGCAAACCSTTAAGACAACAGCAGCAGCAACAACAACAGCAACAGAAAAAGTAGCACCGACGACATACCTTTTCGATTTGTGTTTTTAGTCGATTTAYTTCTAATACAGAGCTTTTCAGGGCTTGYCTTGTTTTGTTCTTTTCAGCTGTCASCTCCTGAATTCGAGTTTCGAAATCGTCGGAAACTAAAATAGTAATGATTGAAGAAAGATTACAAGACGCARTGGTGAATTTTTTGACATGGACAAATATCCTACATTGACCATTCCTCGTCTCAAACYAACAGAAACTAGTTTTTATGTGATGGCGATGAAATTTTGAAGGTTTCAACTTACCATTTTCAGAAACATCATCTTCACTAACAATCGCGTCCTCTTCTGTTTTCCCGCYATTTCTTTGTTCTTCGGATTTGTTGCTTGTAAGTTTGGTAGAACGTTTACATTTGATCTGAACGAAGGAATATTACAAAGTAAGTAAAATGCAAATTCTAGCTGCTCAAAAACGTTTAATAACTTCTTGTGATCATTGATGAAGCGCAAAGCTTGCCTTAACATCGCGRGCTTTAGAATCTTTGTCTTGGCTTGGTTCCAGTACATCTCGAGATTTAGTTGGTATCGGTAATTGTGCACCCTGACGCTTACGGCGCATGTGCTTGATACTTTTACCGCTGTCCCCATTCACAGAAGGCTCAGTTGTGCTTTTCTCCTTCTCCGATTCTTCCCTCATGTCTTTTTGTCGCTTTTCTAATTCATTACCAAGAATTTTTAATTCTGCTTCAAGCTTCTCGTTTTTTGATTTAGCTTCTTGAAGATTCTACAAAAACAGCAAATTTTTCAAGGATTTGTAAGTTTTGAGTACCTGATAAATAATGTCTCCAAACTGCACAGAAGCCTAACCTCTTGTTCCTGCTGGATCTCTTCTAGAACTGTGTTCTTTTGACTATGTACGTTGTCCAAGTCGACTTTACAATCTAAACACAATGCATAGCAGCTATGACCTAGATCTTCTTTGAACAATCGTATAAACAAGAAGAGGTCCTGTTAATACCTTTAAGTTCGTTTTTCAAGACATCTATTTCGTGTAACAGCAAATCTTTGATTTTCTCCTTTTCCGCTGTTTCGTTTTCTGTTTGTTGAAGTTTCTTCTGAGCCTCCTCAAGTGATTTAATTGTGTCAGCGGAAAGTTGCTCGTTGGACAGAAGTTCACTTTAAGGAAAATACTGTAAATCAGATAATTGGCTGCCGCTATCGCTGTTGTTATTGTTTCTTTTCTGAATCTGTTGTTGTAGTTTTTTTTTCCTGTTGTTGTCTTTCTCTGCTGCTGCCGTTATTGTTATTCTTGTTGTTCCTGTTGCTGTTGTTGTTATTGTTGTTAGTCAGTGTTGTTGTTGCTGTTGTTGTTGTTTTTTGTTGTTCCTGTTGCTGTCGTTGTGTTGTTGCTGTTGTTCCTGTTGCTGTTATTGTTGTTAGTCTTGTTGTTGTTGTTGTTGTTACTGTTGCTATTATTGTTGTTGTTGTTGTCTTTTGTTGTTTAATGATGATGTTGCTGTAAGTCTTTTTTTCCCCACTATACCTACCTAAAATTTCGGAAAAATATACTTTACCTTTGCAAATGATGAACTTTTTCTTCCATATCGTGAATACCTATCTCCAAAGTATGTTTACATTTCTGTAGCTCTTCGTACTCAACAAGCGCTGACTTAACATCGGTTGAAACTTTCTCTTTCGATATTTTCTGCTKCTCAATTTCAACTTCAAGTTGATTTAGTTCGGTTACCTTTTCGCTGATTTTATTGTTCAACGTTTCAACAAGAATATTCTTCTCTTCCACCTTTTGGGAGAGTTTGATCAATTCCTCATCTTTSGCGTTACATGTTTGCTGTAATGTCAACTCCTYTTCTTGGGCAGTTTGGATGTTCTCTCTGATATTTAGAAGTTCATCTCGGTTTTTCCTTAAAGCTGATAAAACATTGTTTCTTGTATCRGTGATTTCTTGGAACTTCTCTTCGGCTTCCTGAACAAAAGGTATYTTAAATTACATCTAAAGGACCACAACCAACCACCATTGCACGCTCTGTTTGTGMTTYACTTACCAGAAGGATATTTTCATGATATGCTCTTTCCTCTTCTCTTCTTGCAGCCAGTTCTTCTATTTCAATGTTCTTCTTCTTCACCGCTAATTCAAGGCGACTCAAATCTTTCCTTGCGAGCGTGATGTTCGCGCTAAGTTCGTGATATTCCGTAGTCTGCTTTTGTAGTTCGTTGCGTGTCCTTGCGAGCTGTGAGGTGCGTTCAACTAAAATTTTCTCGCCGTCTTTGAGGGCAATTAACCGTCGTTCGGTCTTTTCGTTTTCTACTTTTTCTGTCGTTGAAATGACTTCTCGTAACTCACTGAGTCTACAAAATAAAGATTTTTTACTTACATTATATTTGAAAAACAAACGTACGTCGGAGGATTTACGTACACCGAAGAATTTACGTACGTCGGCGGATTTATGTATGTTGGAGGATTTACGTATGTCGGAGGATTTACGTACGCCGGAGGATTTACGTACGTCGGAGGATTTACGTACGTCTGAAGATTTACGTTCAGCAGACGCATCAAGGTGGTTGTGTACCAATATACACTTACTTTAGAGAAAGTTTCAGTTTCTCTTCTACTTCAGTAAGACTATTCTCTGCTTTCTCCAACTGATTATTCTTCCATTTCAGATCTTCATCTAGTTTTTCCACGTTTTTACTCGCTTCACCACAGTGC